CCGCGGTGGCAAGGAGGAATGCACTTCACCCCGTCTCTCTGAATAAACCCACCGTCCTCACCCTCGTGTGTGAAAGTAACTCTTCAGACTCCTCCTCAGCAGCACGAGTCTTGGGAACGACTTGTCCCGTGGGCGAGTTATGCTTAGCCAGCCATACTGGCGCTCTTCATCGGCCATCTACAGTGGCTCACGCACGGAGCTAGTTCCTAAAGATGGACAAGTGGGGAACCAGCAGTTAGCGTAATGGCTATGTCGCTGGACTCCCACGTGGTCGACCGCGGTTCGTGTCCTGGACCCAGTGGCTTAAAACTCACGCCGGGCGCGTGTGCGTGCGTGCCCAAGATCCCGAGAGGAGAATGGAGGAGAAGGGATTGCGGCGTGACCATCCCCCCTGGGGGGTGATTTCTCGCTTTCTGTCTCTATGTCTCTCTCTGTCTGTCTGGCGAGCGCACGCGCCCTACAGTGAAAATCTCTCCAAAAAAAAAAAAAAAGAGATGGACAAGTGGCGGGCATTAGGCATATATGGGGTGGTCTGAAAAGTCAGGATGCATTTTTGCATAGAAAAATACATCATGACTTTTCTGATGACCCCAGAACAGTTGCTCAGACCAAGGGTTATCTGGCTTCATGGAGTTTATAATCTAGAGGGGAAGTCCACACTAAGGAATTAGAAATCATTTTCCTAGTGGTGTTTCTAAAGCATGGCTGCTGCTGTAACAGCATGTGACGGGGGTGGGCTAGCATGGAGAAGGGTCAGTGTGATTTCCTAAGGAATTGGTGCTCAATATGGGCCCTAAGAATGAACTAATGCAGCAAACGGGGGCGGGGAGTGGAGGGAGAGGGAAAAGACAGAAAAAGGGTGTTGCTAGCACAACGAGTAGCCTGTGGCAGGAAGGAGCGCGGCAGGCTCTCCCTAGGCTCTCCCACTGGAAGCTGGCTGTCAGTGAGGATCACAGTTAACTCTTTCTACCATGTTCTAACGGCCGTGGTACACAACACAGGCCGTAAAGACGTGTAGGTTTTTCTAAAACGCACCCAAGTTGCCCAATGCAAATTGGGAAAGATACCCAACCATTAAAGCCTCCCTCTTCTTAAGCTGGCATGAAGCATCTAAAATATGGAACAAGAGGCTGGCTCTGTAGCCTAGTGGTTAAGGGAGCCAGATCCAACATGGCTAATTCCAGCCCCAGGTGGTTTGAAAACATGTCAGGCACAAGTGTGTGACTGCTCCAAATCCCAGCGGGATGGAGACACAGAGGAAAAGGAAATGCAGTGTGACCACACCCCACTGGGGCTGTGAGATGTGCTTTCTCTCTCCCTTTCTCTGTCTCTCTCCAGCAAGCACACATGCCCTCTGGCAATTAAAAAAATAATAACAAACAATGACCCAAATAGAGGCCACCTCGCCCTTTGTAATGTATCAAGTCTTAGAATTCTTATCTACATTTTCTTTTTTAAACAACAGTTTTAACTTTGTTAAATTTATCCTAGGCAGTGGTAGAACTTTGTTAAATTTATCCTAGGCAGTGGTAGAATTAGACCAAGACTGAAGGCAGTGTGGGTTTGGGGTATGGATATTCTACTATAGTCATGCAAAACTTAACAACGGGATACATTCTGGGTACCGCATCGTTGGAAAGTTGGATTTCCTCCTGTCAACACCACAGTGTGCGCTTCCACAAGCCTCCATGGGATGGCCCACTACACACCTAGCTAAACTACATGGTAGAGCCTATCGTGCTTAGTGGGACCGCCATCGCATATGTAGCCCATTGTTGATTGGGCCGTATCGTGGTGCACGACTGTATTAAAATCACTCTTGGAGAAGCCTTGTGGTCGGTGTCACTTTAAGGACGATCACACAACCTCACACGCCTAATACTAGCTGTAGCACTAAGCAGACCAAAGCTCAAATCTGACCTTGCCCCGCTATGGTCTTGTTCAATAAAACAGGGTGGGCAGTGTCATCCTGGCAGAGGTGTCAGGGGTGGGCAAGAACGTAAGCCCCACACTAAGCACACTGCCTAGCTCCCGGAAAGTCCTGGATAAGTGCAGTCGTTTCTCACACCACAACTAGGGAATGGGCCAGTCATGCCCATTCCTCGATGTGAAAACCGAGGGGGATCCACAGCTGGGATGGGGGATGCAGTGCAGCTTTGCGAGGGCTCAGGGGTCAGTGTCCTGATGACTCGCTACGTCTTGGTCGGTGCCTTCAAGTCCCAGCCACTGTGGGGAGCTATCCAGATTCCATCCAAAGACTTAGAGATAGCTCCACCCAGGAGCTCAGGGCCAGAAGCCAGCAGTTCTGGGTTCTATCCCTGGATCCAGCTCCATCACTGAAGACTGGGTCCCCTTGGACAGACAGGTGAAGCCAGTGGGGAGGTAATGGAACAGCCACCACATCCCGAAGGCCTCATTCAGGCCAGACGTGTTGCTGAGACTTCCCAGATGGTGCCTCTCCTGTTCTCTAGCAGCCGTAACAATCCTGCACAGTCACTTCTGGGATCACCATTTGACAAGCAAGGCAACTGAGGCCTGGTGACTTGCCCACGCCACGGGGCTGAGTGGTGAAGGTAAGACTTGAAGCGTCAAAGCCCTTCCCCTTTAGCCCATCACCACACCTCCATACAAGGACAGACATCTTATTGATATTTCTCTCCTTCCCACACGACCAGTGAGGAAACAGCCCTAGAAGACCAGGCGACTTTCCGAGGACCCACAGCCAGCCAGCCACCAGACAAAGCCAGAAACCTCCCGCTTCCCCATAGTACAGCCTGACCTCAGTTTCCCTTCTGCACCAGGCAACAACCAACGCGGCCTCATACACTATAGTGATAGGAGAGTTGGGGAGGGGATGAAGATGGAAGTTTTGGGGAGGAAAAAAAAATGAATACACAGGAATGAGCGCTTTAAGTAGGTGTTCAGAACCCCCAAACAAAGAAGAATCCTCCTCAGTCGAGGCAGTGGAAATGAAAACAACGGCTCACACAGATCAGACCAGGGGTGGGAGGATCAGCCGAGAGAAGGGAGGGGGGCACAGGACAGAAACTATGTGGCTTCTCAAGTGGGAAGCAGGGCCAAATGAAGTGTGAAGAATTTCCTCCGTGCCACCCACAAGAAATTAGAAATTGGCACAGATT